GCTGCCTGGGGATGCTCCAATCGCTCAGAGAAAGGAGTACGAATGTACAGCTTCCCCACTGACACAGAGCGGAGGAAGCAGGAGCAATTTCACGACCAACAGCAAAAAAATATGTGATTTATATACAAACACTGCATTTGCACTTTTTCACAAAACGAAAACCACACCATTGGGAAAGCTTAATGTTTTGTTTAATACAAAAAAAAGGGAAAGGCTTGAAAAACACTGAGAGTTGAGACTCAGGGTGCAGGGTGAGGGTCTCAGTGCAGGTATTCAGGCTCCATTGAATCCCCCTCTGGTTCTTGTGCTGAAAGAGGGATAAACAGACAGGAGAAAGGGTTATACACACCTATATAGTATACCTATTGGATGGGAAATTGCCTTGGGGAGATAAGGTGTGGTCTTTGTTCCCAACTGAAGTTATGGAACTTTATTATTTGTGAGTTTAACAAAGTATGACAAATGGCATCAGTAACATATGTGATATGAATTTCTATAAAGTTGTCTCACATTCTTGGTCATATTGTATATACAGTATGTAATGAGTATAACATGTCCAGTAAGTATAAAGTGTTTCCTAATACTGTGTATTCAACCACTATCGAATATGTATGTGGGCAGACACAACTGAGTTGTTCTGTGTGTGAAGTAACCTCAAGTCACTCCGCAGGCACATTTTGATGCAGACCAGTTTGTCAAGACAAAAAAGGGCAAGACTAGGCTGAGAGCAGAGGCTATACCACCATCTTCGTGCATCGCCCTGTGGTCAAAAAGAGAAGGGCCCCTGCACCACGATTCACCCCGGGACCTGTATCTACAAAGCCCATAGCTCATGATCACAGCGATAGTGTGAAAGGTGACACAGGTATAATAAGTATGAACTCTTAGTAACAAAAGTAATATTTCTTATTTTTAAGTGGTATAATATTTTAAATGTTCGAACATTTACAGTGCCATGTCTTCTACTTACATTAGTCTCAAAGATTGAGGGAAGAAGGGAAGGGATCACTGCCCTCCACCTGCCAGAGGAGGGCAAACAACAAAAACAAGCAAGGTGCCCCGTCATGTACCTGGAAGTTTGGGTTGGCAAAATGGAGTAAGAGAGGGACTTGAAAAACCTTGGTGGCTGTCTACTCATGTTGTTACAGTTGTCTTGGTTACAGCTCTCAAGTTTTTTTGTGTGCCATTTCCACATCTTTAGAAAATATGAAAAAATTGAAGTGAAATCAACCTCTTCTCTGGAGAACAAACTTCGATTTCTCTGTCTTGTGAGTTTGCAGTCTTGCAGTTTTGCTCCTCCACCTGTAACATCACTGCCCCTCCACCTGCCATACAGTAGGTTACTAACAAGATTACTTATATAATACAGTGATAGAATACATGTTTAGTATGCTTACTTATATAAAACAGTAGTATTAAACTTACCTTGTGTTTTCACACTCACTTAAGTCCCTCTCCCTTTACCATCAATCCAAAATCATCTGAGCTGCAACATTATACAGGCAGGTAATAATCAACATAATCACAAGGACACAATATGGCTCTGCTAAAAACACTCACTCTTACACGCACCAAAGTTATATTTATCTAATATTTAACTCCCTCCACCCCCGCATACAATCCCGTTTAGAAGCCCCTCTTCTCTAATTCAACAACGTTGGACCAAATGACATTAAGAGAATGGAATTTATAATTAAAAGGTTGTTCAACGTCTGTTGCTAACTTGCTTCGGTATCCTAGCTTGATCTGTTATCTGTAAACGTTCCCTAAATCTACTGATTTAGGGATAATCCACTGACATCCTTTAATACACATGTTAATTTGAATCAGATGTACTGATAATATCCGCAATATAAATCTTTAAACTTCTTCTTACCTTTAAAAGTCCGTCACGAACGGTTATTGTGCTGCAACTCTACCGCTGTAAAAAAGTGGTCCATTGGAGTGAACGGAGATGTCATAACTCTTCTATTACATGGCTCTGGTTCAGGCATTTATCAAACCTGGCATCCCCGGGTTTCCTGGCAGCTGTCAATCAAAGTCCAGTGGCTCCGCCCCAAAGTGCCAGAAACTTTTCACGCGCGCGCAGACAGACTCCGCGAGGCTGACACTCCCGCGAGCAAGCAAGAGGGCTGTCTCTCTCGCGAGCGAGCGCAGAGCCGCTCGCGGGTGCAGAGCCGCTCGCGGGCGCAGAGCCGCTCGCGGGCGCAGAGCCGCTCGCGGGCGCAGAGCCGCTCGCGGGCGCAGAGCCGCTCGCGGGCGCAGAGCCGCTCGCGGGCGCAGAGCCGCTCGCGGGCGCAGAGCCGCTCGCGGGGGTTTAATCTGCGCGCGAGGGTCATTTTATGCGCGTGTAAAAGCACATTTCCCGCTCGTGAGTAGCTTGTTTTACGCGCGAGAATATTGACCCAAATCTGACTCCATACTTTTACCACGTGATGACACGTTAGGCTTGTGTTGTGTTCAATGATCCCCACCTTGGCCAGGAAAAACAGGCACTCGCTTGTTTAATTTTTTTGCGGTCTAGATTTCTTTAATTTTTTTCTTTTTTGCGTGTGTTTATAAATTACCTCGAGGGCCGTACCAAATTGTCTCGCGGGCCGTATACGGCCCGGGGGCCGCAGGGGCCGCAGGGGTGGGGAACCCCTGCCTTAAACACTGCAGAGCCCATACCGTGTTCCTGTTAGTGTTTACTTCTTGTCTGTCTGTGATTCTGTTCATTTATCTAAGGGCCTATACACAGGGGTGCACATAACTTTTTTGCCCTGGTTCTCAAATGAGCACCTGGAGATGTTGCTTGGTGCTCATCCTTAAAATGAAATAAATAAACCGGTCTTTATTTGTCAGACACACGGCACAGAACACACAGAGGTGAACACAGAACACACATGCAGAGGCGAACACAAGACAACATTAGCACGACCAGTAATCCTACAAGCTGTCATCACTACCCTCCTGACTGTTCTCCTCACTGTCTTCCTCTCTGTCAGACATGGTAGCTGATGATGTAGGCCTATTTTCTCTCTGGTTGAGTCTGCGATTAGCTGCTTGCATCCACAAGTCAACAGCTGGTTTTGGGTTGAAAGTCCAGTTTTAAAAGGATATGTTTGGTTACTGTTCAAAACAACAGATAAAGCCAGAAATCTAGGTGTAGTCATGGACTCTGACCTGAGTTTCAACAGTCACATTAAAACTGTTACTAAATCAGCCTACTATCACCTAAAGAATATATCTAGGATTAAAAGACTAATGTCACAGCAGGATTTGGAAAAACTTGTCCATGCTTTTATCTTCAGTAGACTCGACTACTGCAATGGTGTCTTCACAGGTCTCACTAAAAAATCTATTAGGAAGCTGCAGCTAATTCAGAACGCTGCTGCTCGAGTCCTCACTAACACTAAGAAAGTGGATCACATCACTCCAGTTCTGAAGTCTTTACACTGGCTTCCTGTGTGTCAAAGAATAGATTTCAAAATACTGCTGCTGGTTTATAAAGCACTGAATGGTTTAGGCCCAAAATACATTTCTGACCTCCTGCTAAATTATGAACCATCCAGATCTCTCAGGTCTTCAGGGACTGGTCAGCTTTCTGTCCCCAGAGTCAGAACTAAACATGGTAAAGCAGCGTTCAGTTATTATGCTCCAAATATCTGGAACAAACTCCCAGAAACCTGCAGGTCCGCTACAACTCTGACTACTTTTAAATCCAGGCTGAAGACTTTTCTTTTTGTCGCTGCTTTTAATTGAACTATTCATATCTTAGACTGCACTGTAACTTTTATCCATGTACTTTTTTCTTTTAATGTTTAATTGACAGCACTGTAACTTTTATCCATGTATTTTTTCTTTTAATGTTTATTTTATTAGCTTTTCTTTTTAATGACTGATTTTAAATGCCATTTTCTTAATCTCTTTCAATTTTTGTAAAGCACTTTGAATTGCCTTGTGTTGAAAAGTGCTATATAAATAAACTTGCCTTGCCTTGCCTTGCCTTACTGTCCTATAGTATACATTGGAATGATTTCAAACCTGTTTATCCCAATAATTATAAAGGAGTGCCTTGAAAATATGTGTTTACATAAATTGTGACCAAACCGTTTGAACTTAGACTAAAGTGAACTATCTAAACACTCAGAGTCCTTTACCTCACTGAGCTGTAGTTATCAGTCTCTCGGTCTGACTGAAGAGGACTCTCCCTCCACATCATTGTAGAAACATCTTCTTCTTATATCCGCAGCTAGCACCAGATTCTAATAACAACAGCGCCGGCGGTACCGGTGCACCCTCCCTATTTTAGTATTTAAAATACCTAGCCATTATTTTTGCGGTTATTTTGGTGAAAGTAACTCAAAAGTAATATAAAAGTAGTGTAACTCATTACATTTCAGAGACAGTAATATTGTAATGTAACTTATTACCTTAAAAATACAGTAATACGTCATATGTAATGTATTACATTTTGGAAGTAACTTGCCCAACACTGCTAACAGGACAATTGTGTTTTAAGTTATGATATCTATCTATCTATCTATCTATCTATCTATCTATCTATCTATCTATCTATCTATCTATCTATCTATCTATCTATCTATCTATCTATCTATCTATCTATCTATCTATCTATCTATCTATCTATCTATCTATCTATCTATCTATCTATCTATCTATCTATCTATCTATCTATCTATCTATCTATCTATCTAGGCTATCTATCTAGGCTATCTATTGTAATCTGACACCGTAGTGCCTATAGCTAGTAACTACATCTTTATAATCATATTATTACATCTTTATTGCAGTCATACATATAGTGGAGTAAAGGCATATAGTGAAAGATTATTGAAATAATCAAGTAAAGTACAAGAACTCTGACAAGCACCTAAAATAGAATGGAAGAAATGATGAAAATGACCCTGCCACGGCCCTACCATTGGCAGCGAGTAGACTACGTCATGGGGTTGAGCACTATACACAGCCCCTTATTTCCGAGTCGGCGGTGCAGAGCTCACAGTATTTGCAGAGAGAAGTCCCAGACACCATCGGACTCCCATATCATGGCTGGTCTCGTGTATCTGATCACCGGAGGTTGCGGGTTCCTCGGAAACCATCTGGTGAGGCTTTTGATCGAAAAGGAGGACAAACTGGCAGAGGTCCGGGTTTTTGACAAACACGTAGACTCAAGTTTAAATGCACTCAGCACAGGTAAGGCGTTTACAAAATACTCAACTGCATTCAAGAATCTTTGTTTTATTTAATAAGGTTAACGTTTGTCACGCTTACAAATCTATTACTGCAATTTATGTTAAGGCTGTGTAAGGTTTACAACTTCGTATCGTATTTCTGCGTGAACGTTGTCTTTATCTGTATTGATGGATGGTTGAAGGAAGTCTTCTCTGTGCAGATTGTTATGTTGTTACGTTTTCTTTATTGTTAATTTCCATGGTCCTCAGTATGTGAGCCTTCGGTTTACAGTGACACTGTTTTACCTCCTCTTGATGAATAGACCTATTAGGCTACTATACAAATAACTAAGTCACCTTTACGTGTGATAATAAACTTAGATGTGAGCATGTGGAAATAGAAGTGTATGATCTTTGCCAGCAGGTAACAAACACCTGTTGTTTGAATGAAACTCAAGTGGTGTAAATTATATGTGTGCAGTTTATAAATAACAGAACATCAGGTTTCTAAAACGTCTTTGGAGCATGAGAGGAGTGGATTGGGCGTTGAACTACAGTGATGTATGTGTCTCTCCACCGGGAGAAAAAAATGAACATATTTTCCCTTATGCAGTATGGTCACCGGGTCACCCTGCAGAGTTGACAGTTGACCTGTGAATCCTGGACAGCCAACTCCCTTACGTTTCCTGTGTCAGGAAGGATAAAGATGTTATATAGTCTATGCTTTGTTGCTGCTCTTTTGCAACCTGTTGCCCTTAACAGCTGCTGTCAGCACCATTAGATTACATGAACAAGGGAGCTGTGTTGTGTTTTCCATGGCACTAAGGGTTGTCCTGAGCTGGTTCACGTGGATATACATCCCCCTCTCACATGTTTAGCCTTTCTTCCTAGGAATAAAAACATCAAAACACAAGCACAGTTTTTCTTCCTGGTGCATTTCACCAGTTTACTTTTCCTGTCAGGAATGCAGTTAACCACATTTGTTCTCGTATGCGACACGGAGAATCGTTTGCTCAGCTTTCCTTATTTATTGTCCGGAACAACTGAGGCCTGCTGTTTGGGCCCCTGACTGATAAGCTAACAGTAACAGGAGAGCTCATTGTCAGTAACACCCATAGTAGGCCTTGTTGAAAAATATGTTTTAATGTGTGTTGGGTTGTTGAGCTATTTGAATTAGACTTTAATCAACCACCTCTCTGTAATTAGTTAAATTACAGATGGGAATGAGAATACCACAAGGATTGTCCTATTTGCGGCAGGATCACTAACTCTGGCTTATTGCATCAATTTGACAAAGCACATCGGGTTTTTAATAAAATTGGTTGGCTAAAAACAGATATTCTAATATGTTTTCTTTTATAATCTATAAACAACATTATCTTTACAATTTAAAGAAGAGGAATTGTGGAAAGATTATCCAGATTATTTGCAAAAAGATAATAAAATAGGACTTTTGTAAGTGGTAACATAAAAAAACGAGTAGATTCTTCCAAGCATGTATAGAATTCATAGTGGAACGCTCCTTATCCACGCTCTGATACAGTGTCATGTCATGTTAACCTAAGTGTTCTATTTTTTCCTCAGAACGGACAAAAGTTGTGGTGATTCAGGGGGACATCACAGACTACAGCAGCGTGTTGGAGGCCTCCCGGGGGGCCGATGTTGTTATCCACACAGCCAGCATTGTGGACGTCTGGCACAAAATTCCAGAGAACCTCATCGCCTTAGTCAACGTCACAGGTGAGACATCAAGGCAGTGTTTACAAGGAAAATGAATGGGTAGGAAACATCAATGATTCATTGGTTTCATGTTAACTGTGGGAAATCAGAAAACAGAGGAAACACACACCTTCTCCTGTTTTGAACGATTTTCAAGGATGTGTCTTCCTCCTTGTTGGCCATAATACTAAACAGGCTGACTCAAAGAGGACACTTGAAGACGTTATAAAGTTGAGGTGATATTGTAAGTTAGTTCATCAACATTTTTATTTTATCGTCAAATTGCTTACTTGTATGAATTAATGGGTTTCTGTGGACATCCATTCATTTTAAATTGTTGTCATTTTAAGATAACCTAAACTAGTTCCTGGCAAGGATATTGTTTAAAACTAATGAAGCAAGTGGTGGAGTCTACATATTCAGTATCTGTGTCTGTCTTTATGATGCGGGTTGTAAGGCTAGGGTTAATGTCTAGATGTGCAAGATAGACAAAACATGCTTTCCTGTGTTAGTTGATAGTCTCTCTAACGCAAAACATGACTACAACAGACCTTGAATTGCATGGATCATTAAGGCCTTCTTATATGTGTCTGGTAATGTTTAATTCTTGTAGTGCTGGAACTTCCTCTGTTTTTTAATGTCATCAAATCTATACATTACACAGTGTCCGTCTGTTTAAAGCAGAGACAGCTGGGATCTCCCTGAATTAATTTCCTGTTGACTCTCTCCTTATGGGTCCAATTATATTTTCAAGACTTTCATCCGGTAACTGTGTCATCAAATTCGGCACTGAAAAAATCCAACTGTCTTAAAGTCAGTCCTGTGGCTTTGGGAGTTTCACCAACCTAATATGTCACTCAATAAAATTCAGTCTGATTTATCCAACCCCAGTATCCTAAATCTCTTGAATGCTTTATGTCTTCTCAGGAACAGAGAATGTGATCAACGCCTGCGTGGAGTGTGGCATCGAGTCCCTGGTCTACACCAGCAGCATGGAAGTGATCGGTCCCAACGTCAACGGAGACCACTTTGTCAGGTTAGGCTCAATCATAAAATATAATACAATATCATTCTGTATTCACATGTTGCTAAACTTTTGTTAATTGTATTCTGTTGACCAAGTTACCTACTGTGCAAGTCCAAGTGTTTTCCTCACTGAGCACTTTTACAGATGCCTTTCCCTCTGTAACGTTTCTGTTGTTACTATCTTGTTTCTCTTCTCTCTTGAATGCACTATCACGGGGAAAAAACCAAGGCCTGAAAATAATAGATATGATAGGGGGGAGACAAAGGTTCACAACACACAGTTTCTAGCGCCATAACGGTATATCCAAGGGTTTTTCAACCTACTTTAGGTAGATGGAATCTTGGATTAAAAAAGACATCAAATGGAGCCATTTTCCACATTTAGACTCACTCACTATCTTACTCTCAGACTGTCCCTAAGTGATGTTTTGCTTGAGCATGTCTGGTATGTCAGTCACACTTTACATAATGCTGGAATGCAAGTAATACAGCTGCAGCTTTATCTCAAAGCCTAATCTACCAGACATGACGATATTCTTTTTAAAATATACTGAATGTCTCCAGCGATGCCTGTGTCCTTCATTAGAGTGCAATGTTTTTTTCGGAATAATATGTATTCATTTTCTATACCAGGAACGGTACGGAAACCATAACTTGAACAAACTTGCTAAACATTTCCCCGATTTATTGTGCAAAATAAGTTGTGGGAAAGCCACACCCAACCCTAGCTCGGGGCTGTCATTGTTGTACTTATGCACACGAGCGAAAACGCACTTTCTCATGAGACTCAAATCTATATTATATATATATTATAAAACAAATTAATATACATTTTTAAACTAAGTAGTGTAGTGAAAAGAAGAGGAGAAGAGAGGAGAACCTAACCAAAAGGGTAGATGGTAATGGAGAGAGAGAGAATTTTCCCATAATAGAAAACTCCATGTGTTGAGATTTGTTTTGTTATGTTATCACTGTGTTCTTTTCCTGTTTGTATATTTAACTGCATATGAACCTATTTACCTTGTAACAAAAGGTAGAAAATCCTTCCAGTAATCTGCTTGGAGGTCAGTCAGTCTCACAGATGGGCAGTGTGTTTGTCTGCACGTACTGATAATTGCTACAGCTGAACCTCAGGGAAATATTTGGAATTCTTTATTTCACAAGACTCCGAGTCAAGGGGAAAGAATGAACCTTGGTCTTTTCCTTCCTATCTCTCTCCCAACCTCCGTAAACTCTATTTTGACTCACACATTCCTCTCACATATGGTAAGGTCAAGAAAACACTTTCTGTCCTTTTCTGACTGATTAACTCTTTCTGTACAGGGGCAATGAAGACACACCGTACACAGTGGAACACACTATGGCCTATCCTAAGAGCAAGGCAAAGGCAGAGAAAATTGTGCTTGAAGCTAATGGCACCAAGGTAATTTATGTTTAACAATGTTATGGTTTGGGGTGTTTTTATTGAGGCAGATGTATTCAAATCTAATTTCAACAGAAATAAACTGCAGTGGTTATAAGTTTCAGAAAATGATGCAATGGAAACAATTAAAGCTGCAGATGCAAAATAGAAAAACACATGTATTGGCATTAAGATATCTGTGTATAGATTATTATAAGTACTATAATGGGGGACATCAACTTGTATACTCTTTTTTTGATTGACCCACAAACTGTTTTCTATGCTATTTACACTGACAGCCTATTACACGTTATGAAGAAATGTCTTGGGCAACTTGGCCACAAAATGCTAGATTCTCCCCTTGTGGCCTTGCTGGGGTGTCACTCTAGCTGTTTACAATCCAACTCCAAAACAATCTATCCTTTGTCCACCCATGAATATGTTTTTATTTGCCTCCTGTCTCAATTCCCAATCCTGGTATTGTCATTCCCAGATAAAGGGTGGAAAGACTTTATACACGTGTTCCCTGAGGCCGACGGGGATCTATGGAGAGGGGCACCAGCTAATCAAGGCTTTCTACGATAAGGGTGCAGAGCGGGGAGGCATGATCATTGGCGGCATCCCAGAGTCCTCTGAACATGGACGTGTCTATGCAGGTAATGCTACTTTCTTTGTGAGTCATAGCCACAACATCAGGGACAGAAGTAACCAATATAGCTCTTGAACATGGCTTTTGTTCACACCAAGACTAAAAGCAGAAGGAATGTTGCTATGTGAGAGCTTTTTTCCTCTGCATTCACAGGCGTTTCCTTATATCTGATACAGCCAGACCATACAAACATTTAAAAAAGGCTGAAGCTCTCTTAAACCACTTCCTCAACAGCTGCTAGTCAGTGAGCTAAAAGAAGATGTGTAACTTAGAGATTGTACAACATGATAACATGAGCAGTGAGGATACTTCAATCCAGATGGCTTGGCTGTGATATGTGAATAGTATCATAAATCTATATACACATTGTTAAATACATCTGTCCCACCAACCACAAACCAACATGCTGGTTTCGGTGATGATACATTTCTTTTTTTTGTATTCACTCGTGGCAAAGGCTGTTGTCAAGGACCAAATTAGTATCATCAGCAGTGCACGTGAGCATGAGTCAGCATTTATAGCTATTTATAGCTAATATTTTTAGCACCCTAACTAATACTGATATAACAGAACCTTAATGTAAAAGGATCTACTGTTGATATATTTTAGCTAATGTGGAGGCAAGTTCACTATTAGTACAATAGACACTGAAAGCGTATTTGTTTCGATTGTACCTTGGCAATTCAATTCTTATATATATATATATATATATATACAAATAAATAAAATGAGTCACTAATTCACCAGCACTCTTACAATGGTATGACTTGCTCGAAGTGAATATATCTGCACTTTCCTTGTTGTTCAGAGTTTTAATCTCTATGGTTTTTGCACTAAGTCGCTTTGGATAAAAGCGTCAGTCAAATGAAATGATATAGCGGCCAAAATCATAAAAATATAAGAAAGAAATATAACGCAAAGTGCCGCCGAGGCACCCGTCAGCGAATCTTACGCATGGGTAAAAATCAAGGTCCGAGCAAAAGTCGTTTCAGTGCAATTTATTGTCAACACATCAAGCATTTCTCTTCCTTCTTACCCGATGGTAAAAAACCATAAGCCTACCGGGTGCGCCGCTCACTACCACCTGTTTCCCATATTTATAATGAGCCGGTCTCCCCTCCCCCGGTGCCCAAAGGCTGTCTTTACAAAACAGAGGCATGGTACAACTTATTTGATCAACTTAAATAAGAATTAAAAGGAAGATTTACTATAAACAAAAAAGAACAATAAAATAAATGGATAACTATTAAATAATATAAGCTCCTAGATATGGCTTCATCAAATGTAAATGTAACACTTTAGAGATTCTGAAATATAATATAGGACTTTGTCGCTGCGATGTGGTCACAGCTGTGAAGCAACCGTGTATGTTTTCTTGAGAGTTGTTCTGCACAAGTTAGATGTAAGATAAATATTTATTGATCACCACTGGATTTAGTTTTACTAGTTAAAGAGAAGATTGTTATTTCATATACAACTTTGGTTTTTGCGCATTAGACATTGGTGTTGTCACATACAGCCGTATATTTTGTTTTTAACAATAAATGTTTACTTAGTAAAACACAAGTTCTATATGTTTCATATTAATAAATAATGGGTTCAAAGGGTTATTATGGGCTATAAACTTGTTTATAGAAAGAAATGTGAAAGTGTGTAAAACAACAGCGGTGGGCAGGAGGAAAGACCTTCAGACTGGCTGCTTTTTCTTTTGGTAATCTGGGATATTTAACTGTTAACAAGTTCTACTCATCAATCAAATGTTATGTCCATTGCCTAATGTCACAATAAATTATCTTTAGGTTACTAAGGTACATATTTTTGAATACTTCTTCCATCATTCAATCTGGTGTTCACCCACTTGTTTGTGTTCCTAGGCAACGTGGCCTGGATGCATGTACTCGCAGCCCAAGCCCTAGTTGAGCGGCCCATGACGGTCGGAGGTGAAGCTTTCTTCTGCTACGATGACTCACCCTACAAGAACTACGAGGATTTCAACATGCTATTTCTCTCCAAATTTAACTTCCGACTGGTTCGCATGCCCTTACTGGTGCTCTGGTTCCTGGCCATGCTCAATGACCTGCTCCGATGGATCGTGAGCCCCTTGTACAACTACACACCGCTGCTGAACAGTTACACCTTTGCTGTGGCTTCTACCTCCTTCACTGTCCGCTCAGATAAAGCCCAGCGATTCTTCCAGTACAGTCCTCTGTACGACTGGGAACAATGTCTGGCCCACACACAGAAATGGGTTGATACATTCCCTAACAAGGATAACCACAAGGACGCCTAATGTGAACTCAACTACTTCAACATGCACCAAAAGCTGCTATGTAGACATGCAAGACTCCAGGTATACAGTGTAGAGGAGTAACCTGCCATTAGGCAACAATGCAATCAAGAAAAGCAAACTGCATTTACAGTATAAAAAGTTATATTTAAGTAAGTCTATCATTTGTATTGTAGTGATAAGCTTGTTAAGAATGTGCAATAGTATTCAGATATTTAACATTTCTACATCATGTAATTATGTGTATAAGACAATTGTAAACACCATTTACATTTTTTTTTTTTATAAAGACATAGACGATGAAATATATGTTTGTAATTTGAAATAAATATAATTTAATATATTCTTCATGGCTCTGCTTGTTGGGATTTTGCACTTGATTCACACAAAAAAAGAATGCATTTTCCATTATTTTTCTTTCCATAACTGATTTTATTAATGATTGTTATGATGTGCAGTGTGCATCAGTTGTACACCTTGACGATCTAAGTCCTTGATCATTGTTTTTTTGAAAAATATTCCTTAACATTCCCACATGGTTAATGTGAGTTCTCCAACTGTATTTCCATGGAGACAATACACTTTGTTTACAGCACAAAGGACCTAGGCTTTCGTTATACTCTTGTGGAAACTTGTCATCAGACTCCATGACTACCAGCTGTATGGTATTTATTTGTATGAGTAAGACAAATGATATGGGAGTTCCCTTTGACATCATTCCAGCATTACAGGCCTGGGTGTCCCCCATTCCTGTGGCTTTAACCATGGTAATCCTCATAACAATCACATGCCTGCTAGTCAAGAACATGAGCGCAGAGAAATGACTCACTGTCCCCACACTGAATCTCCCCAAACAAAACAAAGGACAGTTGTGGAAATGTTATACTATTTCAAATAGCATTCATTTGTCTTCTAACAAAAGTATCAAGTTGTTCAATTCTGCATTTTATAATATCAGGGATGCAAACTCATCAGGTATGAAAAAGGTGACAAGCATCCGAGCCCCCCCGACCCCACGGAATATCGGCTTTAAAATGAGGAATAACAGGATTATAGCAGTCAGAACAACTAAAGCAGCAGTTAGTAATAACAGAAACGCCAAAGAGTCACATCTAATAGAAATATACAAAAGCATTTATTTTAATTGTGTAGCAGTCAGTTTATCATTCTGGCAGCACTGTTGAGCATTTTGAAAATGTATTTTCATGCCTCTGTGCAAGGCTTAGTCTTTCTATCTGTATAGTCACTGGTGTAAAATAACTAAGTTCATAAACTCAAGTACTATACTTGGGTACAATTTTGAGATACTTGTACTTTATTTAAGTATTTCAATGTTTTGCTACTTTGTTCTTCTTCTCCTCTACAGTTCAGAGGTAAATGGTGTACTTCTCCTCCACTGCGTGTATTTAATCCCTTTAGTTACTTCACAGATGTGGATGAATGATGTGAAATATAACCAAGTGTTAACTCAGACTTTAGTTCCACCTGGAGTAAAGTCACAAGCTACCCTGCAGTATACAAAGTCATTCAAACTAGCTGCACCTTTACCAGCTTTGAGAACACTTTCATGATCAATCATTATAAAACATATCATATATATTATTCTGAAATGGACCAATCTGCACAACGACTACTTTTACTGTCGCTACTTTCACTATATTTTGATGAGAATACTTTTCTACTTTTACTTGAGGAACATTTTGAATGCAGGACTTTTACTGTAACAGAGTATTCCTACACTCTGGTACTTTTACTCAAGTACAAGACCTGAGTACTTCTACTTTTACTCAAGTACAAGATCTGAGTACTTCTACTTTTAGTGTCGCTACTTTAACTATATTTTGATGATAATACTTTTGTACTTTTATTTGAGGAACATTTTGATTGCAGGATTGTTCCTACACTCTGGTACTTCTACTTTGACTCAAACCTGAGTACTTGTACTTTTACTCAAGTAGAAGATTTGATTACTTCTACTTTTACTAAAGTACAAGATCTGAGTACTTCTACTTTTACTCTAGTACAAGATCTGATTACTTCTACTTTTAATCAAGTACAATATCTGAGTACTTCTACTTTTACTCTAGTACAAGATCTGAGTACTTCTACTTTTAATCAAGTACACGATCTGAGTACTTCTACTTTTACTCAAGAACAAGATCTATACTTATACCACCTCTGTTTATAGCCTATGAAAAAAACTATTAGAAAACGAACGTTAGCAGATAGTGACAATGTATGCTAGTTAGCCAGCTCAACGATAATATTGCGACAGAAAAACTTTTCAGTGCACATCACTCTCTGCCGCTCTGATCTGAACACCTGAACGGCCCGTTCTAACAGCTGTTCACCAGCAGTTAATATTAACGAACGCACCGTAGGTAATGTAGCTGCTGCAGCTAGACCATGATCGCGGCCGCAGATTACTCCGGGTCTCAGACCCCCCCCCCATACCCCAAAAACATTTTTATTGCAGATCTACATGAGTCACACACACGACCTATTTTGGATTCAAAACGGCGAATTTGGCCGAAAGGTGACAAGTTTGCATCCCTGTAATATATACTGTATGTTTGGTGTGAGCATGCCTGGGCACAAGTATGTTTAATAGATGTGTTTTGGATTTGACTCTGAACCTTCAGAGTTGCTTGTTTTTGACGGGATACTGCCATCTACTGGTTCAACTAAACATACAAGTCAAAGATCGAAAGTACAGATAATTGTGCGTTTTTATTATAAGATGTTTCCATTTCCCCTACCATCATTGGACATTCATGTTTTCTTTTAATTATAACAACTTATTGAGAATGTTGTAAACGTATTTTGAGGGTGCTTTACAAATACACACATTTGATTCCTAAATAGTGTAATTAATGTGTGTGATTGTGGTAAAATGAAATAAAATGAAAATGCCACTAACCATTAGTGTATAGTCAATGATTTTATAAGTAATAATATAATTACCTTTAGTAAAAATATCAATATCTGAGTGTAAAATGCTCACAGTTAAAGTAAAAGACATGCACAACCTGGTTTTTAGCTTTTTTGACAATTATTTTCCAGTGTAAGAGTTTAATAAATTAGGTAGCCTACTAACCTACGGTATTATTATTTTATAAATACATAATGAACACTTTATCCTTCAGTTTGCTATACAGATTCAAACTCACCAAATGTGGGGAAATATTGTTTTCACGTGAAGGCTCCAGGAGAGTAACACAACTTTGTACTTCAGTACATGCTGGAGCAAGTGTAGTTACATCCCACCAGAGCCCTAGAGATACTAATCTCTTAGTATCTCTAGGGCTCTGCATCCCACCATTAGTAGCTACTAACTGAAGTTGAAGACAGGCCTAAATGTAGTGAGTATATAATAGCCTACAATATTTATATGTGAATGTGAACTGTAGTAGAGTTAACTACAAAGTATCACAAAATAGAAATACTCGAGTAAAGTATGTGTTGTTAAGTACAGTACTGAATTAGTGCAATAATTGACTTTCTAAACTGTGTAAAATGCATAATGCATTGTTAGTGTAATAAAGCGTCTTTCTGCTGTGGAAGGGAGGCTCCGTACGTGCGTGTGCCCGCCGACATTGACGAGAACACGCACGTAGCTGTCAGTAGGAAATGCAGGCTGGTGTTGGATGTAGCCCTGCCGCTGTGCTTGGATACATTTAACAAAGAAATTCCCTTTTGTTTCAGAATGAACACTATAACTTAGAATGGTTATTTGAATTAAGAGAGAATGGTCGCAAAAAGAGTGCGTGTCTAACCGAGGTAACCGAAACACTCAGCTAGCTATTTATGCTAACTGAAACACTATCGGCGCTAATGCTAATAGTACATATTGCTAAACTAAGCTAGCTGCTAACTTAGCCAGCTAGCTCGCCGATTGCAGGACGTTAGTTCTTCCAGGTCCTCGCCCTGTGCCGCGGCTCCTGCCCCTTTGGTTTTTCGTGTTTTCATTTCACGGGACAGGTTGCGGGACCGGAGCTGTGGCGGGGGGAACTAACGGATAGGAACCCCCTGGCTGTCCAGGCGGACGGATCACAGTGACACGCCGGTGTTGGTGAGTTGACTAGCGGAGCTGAAGTTGACCAGGGCAGCGGGGTGGACAAGGCCGAGGACGCTGTTCGGCCAGGGCCTGGCGGGGAGGGAGGGAGGGTGTTGACTATTAGCTATTAGTAAACCATTGCTCCTGTGTGCTGAATCGGGAAGTTGAGGCCTCAGGGGAGGATATGAGCATATAACAACACATTAGCTGCTAGCATGAAACTGATATAGTGTCTGGAACTACAGACAGCAACCTGGCTCATCAGCAGAATACCGGATAACTATGGTTGTCGGAATGCTTTGTTGACAACGTTAGTTAAATGCCAGTGCATTGTTACATCGGTCGATTAAACCGTTATTTCTACAGTAATGGTTTCCTGTCGCTCTTGACTGACTAAATCAAAGTGCTTAACCGGGGTTATATGTTCTCTCTTGAAAAATAAGTTGTATGTATGTATGCTATGCTATCATTTAAATGTTTGATATTCTCTTCTGTGCAGCAAAACATGAAATGTAGCAACTTGAAACATGTATTCATGGAAACCTTTTTCAGTAACAACAAATAAATACCACATGATGTGAAGTTACACATACATAAGTTAAGGCTGACAGGGGATTTAAAGTTATAAAGATTGTTTGTTATATGCTGTCTCCCAAGAAATCTATTGTTTCAAACTTAAGTTATGTAGCTGCTTCTCCAATCCAATTCTCTGACTCACATTTAAGAAGAGGAACTTTCTGCTTATGCATTACAGAAAATGGCATATCTGAATTTCATAAACATTTGGTCATCTTTTGTGATAAACTTCATGAATTGTTGCTGAGAATATTTGCGTCTCTATCCACTTTAAAAAAACAACAACATATATACATGATCAAAGCTGCGTTTATTTGTATTGAACTAATGGCAAGAGTCATGATGTAACACACAGTTGTTATTTGGCAAAAAGAAAGCTAAGCTCCATCATCTTCTTTTTCGTTTGTAAAGGAGAGATCAGAGCGGAACCATGGCCGAACTCTCCACACTATCCCCATCACCCCCCGCGTTGGGGGATCCTCATGTAGCTCCATCCATCCCTCCATCCTCATCAGCACAACAGGCTATCAACCACCCTGTTCCAGAGTCTGCCATGGAGAAGCCCTCACCCATGTCTTCCCTCTACAATGACAAAGCTTTGACTGGAAACACTCCTGCAGCTCAGTCAGGGGGTTCACCCTTGACCCCCCACCCCACCCTTGAGTCCTACAAAACTCACTGCTGACACCCCCCTCTCGTTATTGGTACAT